GTGAAACCATCTGGTATTTTTCCTTTTCTTTCTGGCTTATCTCACTAAGCATGATCTTTTCCAGCTCCATCTATGTTGCTGCAAAAGGCATGTGTTTATTTTTTTTTTGGTTGCAGAGTAATATTCCATTGTGTATATGTACCACATTTTTTTTTAAAGAGATTTATTTATTTATTCATACAGAACTGGGGTACAGGCCAGCGATGCAGAGGGTGACAGAATTCACCAGGAACAGAGTGGGGACTAGAACAGGCAGATCGAGGAAGTACACTGCTGAGGGGAGCAGCGGGCGGGCCAGGAGAGGTCTGCCACGCCATGTGGATCTCCGGGGCAGGCGGGGGTCGAACTCATGTGGAAGTGGCTTAAGCTTCTTAGTGCTATGCTTTAACCCACTATGCCACCAGGGAGGGCCTGTACCACATCTTTTTAATCCAGTCATCTACTTTGGGGCATTTGGGTTGTTTCTGTGTCTTTCCTATTGTAAATAAAGCAACAATAAACATGCCCCCCCCCATTTTTATCCCATTCCCCACTCTACCCCCCTTAAAATGTTTCTGGTATACAGTTCATTATTTCCCCCCCCGGTCCTTTATTATATCTGGACCACTTTTAAAGGGACATTTGGGCAAGGAAAAGTATACGCTAGTGCTTATATGCAAGGGAAAAAAACTCCACAATAAAAGGTGAGACCTACCATTTCCCATACATGGTTGAATCTTAGCATGCGTATACCAAGTGAAAAAAACATAACTTTCCAAACTTCACATAATCAATCTCTAGTTAAGATATTCTAGAAAAGACAAAAAGCATAGCAATGGAGAACAGATCAGTGGTTACCTGTGATGTTTGGGGCTATACCATGTTCACCACAGTTTACACATTCACCAAGTACACTTATTAAGAATATATCGTGATACAGACATCGCACTGGACACGGTAATAATTCCCAGTCCCAACCTCCATCTACCCCCACCTCCAAAGCTCCTGTTTGGAATAGAGACTGGTGGGAGAGGGTGGTCAGTAGCTGTTTGTGGAATGGAAGAAAAAATGGGTAGATAGTCTGTTAACTGGATTCAGTAGATAAACTGTTTGTTTGTGAACAAGAGGTCTTGGGCAAAACAACTTAAACTCTGTGAGCTTCAGTTTCTTTGGCCATAAAGAATATCTACTTACCGGGTTTGTCACACGTTTTGAACAGCTCTGATGTGCACAGTGAATGGCACAGAGCTGGCACTTGCAAAGGGCAGCTATCAGTCCTAAGCTTTGTACTTTTTTTTTTTAATGACAAATGAGCAGTGAATTCATCTGCGAACAAATAAGATAAAAATCTCAATTTTCCTGACCAATCACTGAAAAAAAAATGTCAAAAGGTCATTCTTAGTTGTCATAAACCCTAAAATAGCAACTTTGAAATAAAGGAGGCAGCAATGTCACGAAATTCTGTGTGCCTATTCACATCGATTTCAAAAGACTCAAAATTAAACGATTATAAAAAGGTCTTTGAGAAATACCATTAAGGGAAGAAAGCAAGTAATCTAATTATGTATTGCATGAATTACACTAATTCGAACCCAAATTTAATATAAATGTATTCATTTATGATAAAAACCTAATGATGGTTTAAAAGCCGCCTATTCAGTTTTGATTTTAACATGAAATACTTATCCCCTCACACAGATTTGATGTGATGTGTCTATGAAGGTCTATGAATATTCATAGCCACTGTATGAACTACATGTCCGCATCCATATCACACACTTCTTACCCCCCCTTTTTCCTCTGGAAAGAAAATCATTAAAGCATAGTTGAACATGGAAAAGCCAACAGTTCCTTGAATAAAAGTTGCAGCGTCCAGAGGGCCTGCCACTCTAACAAATTGTTTGTTTAACTCGTTTGGGATGATGAGGTTGACAAGCCAACATGAGGCTTAAAAAGGAAATCTGCCAAGGTGGCCCGTATGCCCGGGGCTCCCGTGCAGGAAATCTCAGAAGTCCCTGCGCTGTGCTGGAGGCAAAAGCACACTGGGCTGACGACCCCCCTCCCGAGCTCCTCCCAACCTGGGGCTCTGAGGGAGGCAGTGCTCTGTCTGAGCCCCATCTGGCTCCTCCAGCCCTCCCTATCGCCTGGTGGGGGGAGATGTCCCAAGTGAGTCTGGGGTCTTGGGCAAGATGCGTGCTCTGGTCCTCATTTTTCTAAGTTGGCTAATGATTTCCAGATATTAAAAACAAACTCTATAGCAAATTCTTTTGTGTATATAACAGGTGCGCAGAAATGACTTTCTCATCAGCAGGTAATGGGTGGTGTCTGGCACACCAGCCGTGCTCAAAAATACTGGCAAGTGGCTTAGCAGTCAGTGTGTGACCTTGGGGTCAGACAGCCTGCTCTCAAGTTCAGGGTCTATCCCTGAATGGGGGAGGGCTGTTTCTTAGGCTGAGCCTCTGAACAGGGGAATCTTCACCTCTGCAGTGCAGATAGTACTGTCTGCTTTCTAAAGGAGCTGAGGAAATAAAATGAGCCCAGGCCTGGTGACAAGCTTAGACCCGCTGGCCACGTCAGCACTTCTAGGTTCTAGAAAAATCAACGGCCGCTCACCTTTCCCGCCCCCCTTCACTGCTTACAACGAACACTTCAGTCCTGACTTCTGAATATCAAGTGGTAACCACAATTTTCTGTAACATCAGCTGGGTGTCCTAAACCTGAACTCAGTTCTAACACTACTTGGAGATAGCATCTGATCCCACAGGTTAAGGGTTCAATCCCACGACACCTTCTCACCTCCCCCTCTCTCCCATGCACACCAGGTGCCAATTGCAAATGCAGGTTGTCTGTTTGCTTCTGACCAATTGGTTATAAATCAGAAGTTCCCACAATCCACTTTGTGGGTCCAATTCAGTTGTTAGAGCAACTTAGAAAACTCGTGAAAACTTGACATGTACCAGTTTGTTAAGAAGATAGAATAAAGGATGAAGATGAACAACCAGAACAGATACATAAGATGAGGTCAGGGGTGCTGTGGACATGGGAGCTCTGTCCCCGTGGAGGTGAGATATGAATCTGTTCACCCACCTGGAATGCCCCCCAAGCCCCGTCCTTTGGGTTCTTACTGAGACTTCTCAGTAAGATGGAATGATGGATCATCAAGGTGGAATGATGGATCATTAATTCCAACTTTAGTCCTTCTCAAGATGTAACAGGGTGGTCCCTAGGAAAAAAGGGAAGTTCAGGTTCCCTGCCCCACCCAGAAGGAGTGTGGAGCTGAGCAGAGAAAAAGGAGAGAAGAGAAGAAGAGAAGGAAGCTGGATGGAGAGCCAGGAGACCTGAGGAAGCCACATGGAGCAGCAAGCATGTGATGAAGAAACTGTGCTTGTCTCCTGGCCCTGGACTGGTTTAGGCAGATGTGGGTGAGAGACCTGTAGGGAGGTGACTATGGCAGTGTTTATATTGATTTTGATTTTGTTCTTTTGCTTCCAGACTTGTCTGGCCATTTCTGACCCTTTTCCATGGGTCTCGGCCAGAAGGTGCTTTAGTCTAGTGGCGGGCTTTCAGGCCTTGCTTTGGGCCAATCCCTTTTGGGTTGACTTTTGCCCACGAGGGGATGAGTAGCTTCAGGTGTTTGATTTAGAAGTTATATTCTCTGTGTTCCATATTGTATATTCACTGTATTAAAGTCCCTTTTCATTTAAGTTTTATATGTTTTGTCTTGTTGCGGTGGATGGCAGAACCCACTTAGAGCAGGCAGGTTTTGGGGCTTCAGGAGTGTCTCTTTCCCCCTGTCCGGTAATAGATTTTGTCCTATAACAGGTTTTGTTCTCTAACAGATTTGGGGTGCTCTATAACAAAGAGATTGGGGGCAAGACTTGAAAGTTCCAAGCTTCTAGTGATGGCTTGCAGGTGACCAGCCCCCATCCAGGCCTCATCCAGGAGTTCTAGAAGCCTACCCCAAGCCACCTCATTAGAACAAAAGATATGCCTCTGAATGAGGAAATTACAAGGATTTTGGAAACACCTTGCCAAGAACTTGAGACAGATATCCATCTATATTTTCTGTTACCTTGCAGCACTCAATATGATGTGCTTGAAGTGAGGGACACACCCCACAGGTTATAGCTGAGCCAAGGCCCTGACCAATACGGGACTGAAGAGGGAGAACTCCCAGCTTGGTGTCTGGCTTACAGTAAGTGTGGAACTGAATCAATTCAAAAAGTAATGTAAAATATCTCCAAATATGGCTTTACTCATCAAGAAAAAGAAAAAGAGTAGTAGGTTAAGGTTCTTCCATTCTTACGTACCATCAGTAGAGACAACCCAGTCTACGTAAACTTCCTGCTCTGTGTCTGCAAGCAGACACGGGTGCTGGTGCAAATGATGCCACAGGGCCTGATTCCTCTGCCTCTGGCACTGCCTCCTTTGGTTGGCTCCATTTCAAAGATGCTTTGCCTCTGATTCAGCAGGGACAAAAGTCAAGTATTTTGTCCCAGCAAAAGACTCCTCGTAACTTGAATGTTCATCGCAGAGACAATCACGAGGTGATCAGTTGGTCGCCTCTGACCTGAGCTGTGTACTCCTCGAGCTGGGAGCCTTTTCATGGGAGGTGGGGGTGGGGGTGGGTTCTCACTTGGTGCTTGCTTTAAAATATACCTAGGGTTAAACCTAGGACTGCAGCGTTGAGGCTACTAGAGGGAGAGAAGGGGGATGGCAACAAAGGACGGGAAAACAACATTCTAGGATTATGGGTGCTTGGATGGTGGCAGTGAGGTGGTAACAGACATCTGAATTGCGAATGTATTCCCCAAAATCGTGTTGAACTTAAACCTATACCTCAGTAAAGGGGAAAAAATGGAAATAAAATGTAAAGAGAGAGGCCTAATAACAGAAATAATGTGTGTGTATATGTATATGCGTATATATGTGTGTGCATGTGCACATGTACATATATATGTGTACACACACACATATATGTGTGTAGGTGTGTATTTATCTGGGGTTTTGTTTTTGTTCAGGTGTGGACACCAGACCACGTGGCAAGAGCACCAGGAAGAACTAGGAAAAGCATGGCCAAAGATTTCATCCTAGGGAGCAAATTTCTAGGGAACAAATGGGTAAGACAGCAGGCAGCTGGGCGAGATTGCTCTTGGACTGTTCGTGATGTTTTGATGAGATTTTGGGTTCAATGAGCCGGGTCCTTGGGTGACCGCTGAAAAAAGTTGCAGCAGAACTCCCCTTTCAGCAGCTCTGGGCAGGTTTGTCCACAAGGCAGAGACACTTAGTTATATCCAAAAGGACAGGTTTGTCCTATAAAGGAAAGAAAAGGCTGCTTGCAGACACAGAGTGTCACAGGGCACCCCAATGTGAATTGGGTTGCCTGTCTGTGGGTCTTCCCTCGTGCGCTTACGATTCAATCGTATTATGGACACACTCAAAAGGTTAAATAATGGATTTATTTATAAGGAGAAAGGTAAGGGAATAACCCAGGGAAAGAGGGAGAGAAACACAGGTTAACTAACCGATTGAGCACCAAAACGATCAGCTGCGAACCACCAGGTCCCCCCAGAGCCCACATGTCCGGTTTTATCCCAACCTGGCTGCTCAGCTCCGCCCTCATGTCCCAGCGTGCTTCTTCTTGGTACTGTGGGATTTGGAGTTCCAGCATGGAGTGGGGGCGGAGTCCGTGAAACCTGTACCTGTTACAAGAGCAGGAAGGCTGCCTTTGCCAGTGCAGGAATCATCCGGTTGTCGTGTTCTTCCTTTGAGGAGGGGTTCATTCTGTTACAGGGCAGGGTGAGAGGTACCCTGGGCCCCCGAAGCCTGTTCAATAACTTCTGTCATCTGCTGCATCAAGACAAAACATAGTCTAGTGTGTAAAACCTTTAATGGGAAGAAACTTTGATACAAGAGAAAAAGTTTACCTGCACTGCATCCAAAGTTTCCCACCCCCCTCATGGGTGAGCTCCCAGCCAAACAGGGTTGCTGGCCCAAAACAGGACATCTGAACCCTAAAGCCTGCCACATGTCTAACGCATCTGGTGGGGCCCCACAGGAAAGGGGGAAAGAGGTCAGGCAAGGGAGCAAAATAAAAATCCAAGTCAAGATAAAGGCTGCCCACTTCCCCAGTCTGTCTCTTTTGAGTGTCTCCTTCCATGTCCCACAAGCCCCTGATACAAGTCCAAAGCCAAGATGCAAGTGCAGCTTCTTCCCTTCTGTCTGCTCCACGTGCCTCCAGGTTTTCTTCTTGATCCCCTTCCTTCCTTCTGCAGTCCTCCCTAGCTTCTCCTCCCACCCAGCCCCATGCTTCCTTAGGGTGGAGCAGGGAACCTGGAACCTCCCTTTTCCCTGGGGATTAGATTACCCACTTACAATTCTTTAGCTATTGTTAAATTTATCACTTTCAGGGTGTGACTAAATCCGGTGATTGTCTCAATGGCTTCAACCTCCATATCTTCCATCTCTGACCTGTGCTCCAAGTACTTTCCTTGTGCCTAAGGATTTTTCATTCTATAACTGTGCTTATCATTTCTTCTCTCACCTTCAGTTTCAGGCTTGCGAAGCCTCCGTTCCTGACTTTCTACTCTCAGTTTGAAGAACTTCAGTGGGTTCAGGGTGCTAGGACTGGGCCCCTGTTATCTGGGACCTGAGCCTGCAGTGATTCCTGACAGTTGGGAGGCTGAGGAAAAGATTTGGATGAGGGTTGATTGGGGTTGGAGGTGAGTTGGACTGGGTTTGATTGTATCTTAAAGGCATGTGAGCTAGGCAGATTATTTGCTCTCTCTAGGATTTAATTACCTCTGGGAGGGGCATTCCCTCCTGAGGTCCACAAAGGCCCCAAAGATGCCAAAGCATCATAAAAGAAAAAACATGATTAATACTGTCCTAGTGTTATAGTGCACCTCAATTCAGAGAGAGGCACCCCTGAAGTCCCAAAACCTGCCTGCTCTAAGTGGGTTCTGCCATCCGCCGCAACAAGACAAAACATATAAAGCTTTAATGAAAAGTGAATATACAATATGGGACACAAAGAATATAACTCCTAAATCAAACACCTGAAGTTACCCATCCCCTCGTGGGCAAAAGTCAACCCAAAAGGGACTGGCCCAAAGCAAGGCCTGAAAGCCTGCCACAAGACTAAAGCACCTTCTGGCCGGGACCCATGGAAAAGGGTCAGAAATGGCCAGACAAGTCTGGGAGGAAAAGAGCAAAATCAAAATCAATATAAACACTGCCATAGTCACCTCCCTACAGGTATCTCACCCACATCTGCCTTAATCAGTCCAGGGTCAGGAAACAAGCCCGGTTTCTTCATCTCATGTTTGCTGCTCCATGTGGCTTCCTTAGGTCTCCTTCTCCATCTGCCTTCCTTCTCTCTTCTCTCTCCTTTTTCTCTGCTCAGTTCCACCCTCCTTCTGGGTGGGGCAGGGAACCTGGAACTTCCCTTCTCGTAGGGACCACCCAGTTACACTAGAAGGCCAAACAAAACACACACCAGCATCACCCAACAGATACTTACTGAAATGATCGAGGTCTAATATAGGTAGGTAATCTCATTCATTTAGCCATTCATTAACTCTTCAACATTTACTGATGCAGTTTTTGGAGTTGATGGATTTTGAGCTCGGAGTCCTTGGGTTCACTCTGGGAAAGGTTTCCCCAGAGCTCCCCTTTCAGTGGTACCCTGCGAACTTCTATTGAGACAAAGATGTTAGTTTCATTTAACAAGCAGGTTTATTAGGGAAAAGGACAGAAGAATAAAGGACACTTGCCTGTACACAAACTGGTAGAAAGGGCTGCCCTGAAAGGGACAGCCTTGCTGAGAGAGGCCTGCATGGTTGCAGGTGGTCAACCTTGAGGCGAGTGGCCTCCGCTGAGGGAGGTCCATGGGGAGAAGCCCCAGCCTGGTACAGGTCATGGGCAGGCAGCTGCTGCTGCCTTGTGGAGCGAGAAAGTGGGTGGGAAGAAGCACCAATATTGTCACAGGTGGGCAGGAAGACTGCCACACCTTTGCGTTGGGGGGGAGGGGGGAGGCTTAGGCTTATCTTCTTTCAGTAGGGAGGAGCTCATGGATGGTTGGAAACTTAATCTCCATATCTTCACCTTCAGGCCATGCTCCTGACACTCCCTGCGGCTGTCTGATACCTGCCTGGGTCTTGTGCTTGTGACCTATGTCTAGGCATTGGCACTTAAGGATCTTAGTTTCTGTAGTGGCTTTATGGCTAAGTCAGCCCCATCCCCCCACACCTACTTGTGAGACAGGTTCCTAACCTTATGGCATCACTTTTTCTATTCTTACCTCCATCACAAGGTACACATTTGAACAAAACCAGACATGGTTCCTGTACTCTTACAACCAGAGCTGTTGATCGAATAAGCAGAATTTGAAGAAGGCTTAATTCAGTAACTGTCCTTCACCATGTGGGATCCAGTAACATAAATTGAAAGGCTTTAATCCACTTATTTATTTTAGATGATAGTGAGATGTTTTACCTGAAACTATATTCTGGAGCCACTGAAGCAATTTTATGGTACTGTTATAGGGCACCCCAATGTGAATTGGGTTGCCTGTCTGTGGGTCTTCACCTGTGCGCTTACAATTCAATCGTATTATGGACACACTTCGAAAGGTTAAATAATGGATTTATTTATAAGGAGAAAGGTAAAGGAATAACCCAGGGAAAGAGGGAGAGAAACACAGGTTAACTAGGATGTCCTACCAGTTCTGCTGACGTGGACTCCACTGGCACGCTGAAAACCGATTGAGCGCCAAAACGATCAGCTGCGAACCACCAGGCCAAGAGACCCCAAGAGCCCACATGTCTGGTTTTATCCCAGCCTGGCTGCTCAGCTCCGCCCTCACGTCCCCGAGTGCCTCTTCTTGGTACTGATGGGATTTGGAGCTCCAGCATCGAGTGGGGGTGCAGTCCATGAAACCTGGACCTGTTACAGTACCTACAAACAAAATCACTCCAACAAGTGAAAATAGTCTCTATGATGTGTATGGCAGTTAGAGATTAAGCAATTCTTCGGTCATTCTCATATATTCCTACTATATCCCTGCTAGACAGAGATTATTGTCATCTAATTTTGCAGCTGGGGAAGCTGAGGTTTTAAGCAGAGGAAAATGATTTGCCAGAGGATTTATAATCAGCAAGTGGCCTGGTGAGGGCTGGAAACAAGCCCAGCGTTCTTGCCCTCTCCTGGGTCTTCCCAAACTGTGGGACCCTGAGCAGCAGCACCCAGATAGTGTTGGGGTGCCCAGTAACAGAACTATATGGCCTCACCTAGTGGGACTTTCCACTTCAAACCTCCTTTAGAGCCTTTTACCTTTTACTTGCCAACCATTCTTTTGAAACCAAGAAAGTGTAGGATTCAGTCTCAGCACCTTTGGCAAGTAAATTAGATCTAGAATCTAGTAACTATACTTTGCTTTATTAATGACAAGTGATACTGGTTTTTTCATTTATGGTTGAGATGTTACGTTTCCCTTTGAAATAAATTTATTTCTTAAAGCAAAAATGTGTTGATTTAACAGATAGTACATAAATAATAATACAGTTGTTTTGTGTGAGACATGCAAGTCGTGAGAACATTTCCTGAATGACTAATGTGGAAACACCACATAGATCAAGCAAGCAGGAAGATTCTTCTGGAGGACATAGTGTTCCTCTCCCTTCTTTCTTGTCGAGGGAAGAAGATGGCTGAGGTGCCTCTCAACGCAGAAGACATGGCTGTGAGGTTCACAGATGGATGCCAAACTGAATCAATGTTTCCAAGTTGTGGGAAGAAAAAAAAAAGGGAAAATGCACCTATCAGTGCAAGAATGCTGACTGCTCTTTCTTAGGTAAGAATGCACTGGATTCTGGTATTATGTTCTTTTGGCATGAGTGCATGTGTGTGAACATGCTCATTCTCCAGTGCTTACTTGATGATGTAGGTGACCATTGTTGACTGTGGTTGTTCCAGTAGCTTCACTTGGCAAAACAAAAAGCTGGCGATCTCATTTTCACAGCCCCCGTCCTTTATTTTATTTTCTGTTCTGTTCTAGGAGACTTCAGTTGCAGGAAACAGCTTGCCCTCTGTTGTTAGAGGGGAAAGGTATTGATAGACCCAGCATTATAAATGTGGTTTCTAGCAATGCAAAGCTGCAAGCCATAAATCCTTACTGAACCCAGGCACTGCTGTTTATCATTGAAGATATCCTTCTTTCTCTCCAGTGTAACTAAATGAAGATGGGAGATTAGAGAAATAAGATAGCTGTTAAATTAAAGAGGAAAAAAAGTTTGAGTTTCAAGGAGGATGTTACAACAACAAATGTACAAACCGACCAACCTCCAAGCTCCTAGCCCCCCTACCCAGGCTTTGATGAAGCTGGTAAATTGGGCTACCTCTGCCTGGCAATTCCTTTCCTTTAATTTGCCTGAGAAAATATAACTGGGCACAAGTAGTTGCAAGGAATTTCATCAAAAACATCAGTTAGGAGAGTGAAAAGGCTAGATACAACTTAAATATCCAGTCACAAGTGATTGCTTGGGTAAATTAAATCATGGTATATTCACCCAGTAGAATGCTGTGTACATTTACAAAAATATGCTATAGAGAAAGACTCACTATTGCATAACGGTAGTAAGAGTCTTGTTAAGTGAGAAATGCTCTAAAAGTGAAAGATGAGGGGCCTTCCTGGTGGAGCAGTGTTAAAGCGCAGCACTGCAAGCTAGCAACAGCAGCTTCAGTGCCAGTTTGATCCCTGGTACCACAGCTGACCCACATGGCATGGCAGACCTCTCCTGACCCGTCCGCTGCTCCCCTCAGCAGTGTGCTTGTCTAGCTGCCTGTTCTGCTCCCCACTTTCTCTCTGGTGAATCCTCTCATTGCCTCTATGCCTCTATACCCCAGTTCTGTATGCATAAATAAATAAATCTTAAAAAAAAAAGTAAAAGATGAAACTGACAGAATAGTCACTGGAGTGTAGCTTAATTTTTACTCTAAGAATGGCACAGTATGTCTGGGTGATGATACTGTGAGCCCTCTTCTGTTAGTGGAAAGATATTTTCTAAATGTCTTCAGTGAAAATATACTACTTTCACTTTAAGAAAAAAAGGCGATTTCCTTAAATTGGGCCCCATTTAACCTGCTTAAAAACGGGTCAGCAACCATATTCGTAAACTTAAGGTGAGTATTTGTGGGCTTGCATTTTGCTGTGTCGATGTGCTTCCCCCAGAACCATAGGGAGACACTAAACCTCTCTGCAAAGTCTTTGTAGATTCCCATCTGTGACTTGATAAATATTTGATGCAGTGGCCAGTCAACATCCCTACATTAGTGAAACTTCTGCCCAGGAGCAACTGCACAGCTCTCAGCAATGAGATCGGAGTAAGTTAAAAAGAGTGTATTCATTAGCTACTTCAAAGGGTTTGGTTTTTTAAGCTGGCAGTTTTGCAGACTGGATTATTGGCCCTGCTGTCTACTGTATGCTCCCCCAGTCCCCCCAAATATACTACTGCAAGGAGCTTGCTTCTTTCTTTAACAATATTTTCTTTCCTTTGTGTTCATAGCCCAGGAGGCAAATGCGGTGTGAGCAGCCCCCTCCCCTCCCCTTGATTAAACAGTTGTGAATATTGGAACTGAGTTTTGGATCTGTCCCTTAATTTTGATGCCAAAAGCCTGAAGCCTTGTCCCCCTGTCTTACATAGTTTTGTACAAATGGATGGACCTCTTACTCTCCCTACACCTCCAAGATTACAATTGATAATTTATTTTTTTTTAAGATTGTATTTATTATGCATAGAGAAATGGGGTATAGGCCAGAGGTGCAGGTGCAGTGAGAGGATTCACCAGAGAAGGTGTGGAGCAGAACAGGCAGATTGACGAAGTCCACTGCTAAGGGGGCAAGACAGGCGAGGTCTGCTGCGCCATGTGGGTGACCTCTGGGGTGGGGATCAAATTCACACTGAAGTGGCCATCACTTGGCTTAGCTTCACAGTGTAGCGCTCAACCCGCTGTACCACAGGGAGAGCTCACAATTGATGATTTAAAAGTCAGCACTTCTGTCCTATATATCCCAAAATAGCAAGCGAAATGGGTGAGCAAAACTCATTGGGAGCAGAGAAGAGAAGTGAAGCTAGATGAAATTCATCTCAACTGTGGGGATTTTATAAGGACCCATGTAGATGCCTATTCATTCCTCAGTATAGAGATCGCCTCTTCCCAGAAGCCTACCGGGATCTCTCGCCATGTTGCAGGCTTGACACTCTGTGACCTTCCCTGTCTTCTGTGCTCTTACAGAAGCCTTCCTGTTGTATTATAATGACTTGCTTGTTTTTATCTTTCCCTGGTAAGCTGAATTTCAAGGTTGGTTGTCCACTACTGCGTAGAGTAGCTGGCACTTAGAAAAGTGTTGAATAAATATTGAATTGAGTGCACTTTTCTTGAGATTATGGGGCTAGCATAGGTCAAAGAAATCATGAGTTGGTAGGATAAGTTGTCCCAAGTCTTGTTTGCATGGATAGTCTAAGTCATGGACTGGTGAACCCTGTTCAAGCAATTTGGCTCACAGACCATGAGGTGTCACGATGGAGAAAAAGTGTTAGATCCCAGCTCACAATTACCTCACAATTTCCCAGAGGGAGAATGCTGAGAACCCACATGTGTAGCTGGAATGTAACCTTTCTGTGCATGTCCAGAGCCTATTTTTTAGCTATCTCCTCCTGTCTCCCTTCCTAGAGCAAAGCTGATTCTCCTTTCCCACACTGGCTTCCTCATCCATGAGTCTCTAATAAAGCCTTGCTTGGATCAACTATACCCAGGGTCTTTTCTAAAGGGGCAAGGTTGAGTTAGAGCCCTGAAACAATACTGCAGCAAAGGAGTTAGCAAACTGAAGAAGCCTATGGCATCCAATTTTTTTTTTTTTTAGATTTATTTATTTATGCACAGAGAACTGGGGTTTAGGCCAGAGATGCAGGGGCAGTGAGAGGATTCACCAGAGTCTGAGTGGGGAGCAGAACAGGCAGATGGAAAAAGTGCACTGCTGAGGGGAGCAGCAGGCGAGATAGGAGAGGTCTGCTGCGCTATATGGGTCACCTCCTGGGCCGGGGATTGAACTCGCACTGAAGCGGCTGTGGCTAGCTTGTAGTGCTATGGCCTAACCCATTGTGCCAGGGAGGGCTGGGATCCACTTTGAAAATCTTCATTCATAGCTCAATGAGTTATATCTTTCCAAGCAAGCAGTTGTCTGGTCTGCTTCCACTCTTGTTCTGGCAGTGCTTTTAACAAAGGGAGACTTGGGGATGACTAAGGAAGAGAGTAAAGCCTGTAGGGTGGGCCCTGAAGTAAACAGAGAAGTTAATCCAGGGGCCTTGCCACTTGTAGTTCTTCATTCTGCTTATTATTTTCTGCATTTTGAGGTCCTTACTATCTTCCCTTTTTTTCTGTAGGGCTTTACTTTCAGCTGAGAGGCCTGTAAACCCCACTCTGGTAGCTGCTGAGAGCTCTTTAAAAGTTCTGCTTTTCAAACCAGAGGACCAGACAGCCACCCAGGAGGAGTGCGGAATCTCTTTGAAGTGTCAGTTTTACTGGAAGACTTTAGGGAAAAACATTTTTGTATTAAAATATAGATATTTATGGTAAAATAGTGTATATATACACATGTAGTATTGCTTTATATATACTATATATATATGTTTATATATATGTAATAGGAGAAAGGTATGTGCCTGATTTCTAAGAGACAGTACAAAATTTGAAAGAAAGAGTTTGACCAGAATCTTCTGGGCTAAGAGAGCCTGTGGACTCCAAGTATTCACACTTGTTCTGATGAGTTGCTTTAAGAATTTGAAACACTGCTGGTTTTCGGTGCTACCCTCTGTTGGGACTGTCATTTTCTCTTGGTTTCTTTTGGAGACAAAGGCTTTACAACCAGAAGCCATAATGCATTATGGTGGTATTTCAGGCAGCATGAAATGGAGTAGAGGGAGAGTTAGTTCCCAGAAGAGGCCTAGCATTTATCAAGTCCATTCCTTCAAATTCTCTCAGCCCCTGCTAGCTAGTCTCTGAGCAATTACAGGAAATGTCCATTTCATTCTGTTTGGATAGTTTCTAAATTAAACTGCTTAAGCTCAGTGTCTCTAACTGGAAAGTAAAATGAGAAAATTTGTCTCATGGAGGGCTTGTGAGTATATGAAGTACTTAGCTCAGTGCCAAACACATAATAAACATTTAATAAGTGGGAGTTCTTGTTGGCATTCATCATAAAGTCAGCATATACTCAGCCAGACCCACTTCGAACCTTGTGACTCTGGTGCAAAAATATAAACGGCGACTTGCCATGACCGCCTTCCTGGCGCCCTGCAGCTGGGTGAAGCCTATGGTGTCCTCATCATTGACCACCGGGAGCCAAGTCTCCTTCGATGCCGGCAGACGAAGTCCCAAAGACAGCAGAAAATGTTTGTGCTCTTAGCACTGGGGAGAAAGGATCAGATTATCAAGGTCCCTGCCTTCACAGGATTACTCCAGGATTTCTGTGCCTGGTGGTGGCTTCTCTTGCCTGATGGGCCCGCGCGACAAGCCCATCTGTGGGGAGAAACCCAGTAATGGGAATTTCATCCTAAAACATACAGCTGTCAGTTTCTTGCCGATGGCAAATGCTTGACCCAACAAATGGTTCCCAGTTTTTCATCTGCACAGCAAGACTGAGTGGTGGGATGGCAAACATGGTCTCTGGCTAGGTGACAGGAGGGAGGGAATGTTGTGGAAGACTTGGAGGGCTTTGGACCCAGGAGTGGCAAGACAAGGGTCACCACTGCTGACTGTGGACACATCCAGTAAATTTGACTTGTGTTTTACCTTAGCCACCAGATCATTCCTTCTGTACGTAAGTATGCACCTGCACCCCTCAACCCTGTCTTATCTCCTTCCAAGCCTGGCTGGATTCAGAGTTAAGTTTATGGTTATGAAATAAATAATAACAACAGAAAATGGAGAGCCCTTTGTTTTAAGTATCTGAAAGTTACAAACAAGTTAGCAAACTGTCAAATATAATAACCCAATAAAATGTGTTCTAGCCTTCTATGTGCACAACAAAATTAAATAGGTCTTTTATTGTTCTTTAATTTTTTTTTATTGTGGTAGGAATGCAAAGTGAGCTCTAGAAAATAAGTGTTTATATCAGCAAATTGTTAAAGTCTGATTAATTTTTTCCATATAGCTAGGAACTCTGTTAGTTGGCATTTGGATAAGTTAACCAAAACATATAAAATTCATAATTACATTTATTATCTAAAATTTTCTTCAGTTCAGTAAAATTACTAATTATGTTTTTGTAAACTGGATTTTTACATAATTTGTGATCTAATGCTGGTAATGCTGTGCTCATATTATGAAATGGAAAAATCTTGCTGTTAATAGTAACTGTAATTGTTAATAAAGTGACTTTGGTAACATCTGCACTCAGAAATCGACAATGGATTTTACATAGAAAGTTCAAATAGTATGAGGATGCTTTATAAGTCAGGGACTACATGGAGAATATCTATTACTGTTCTCTTAGGAAAAATCACAGTATTTTACATCAATATTTACTTGTTTTCTGGCTCCTTTGTTGATTAGTATTGATCAAAGATTGCTGCTGTGGCAATCTTTTTTTTAGTTCAAGTATTTGCATATACTGGTGTGTTTTTTCTTTTGTTTTGTTTTTGGTGCAAGCAACATTTTGTATACTTTAATTGAGACCTACCTATTCCTAGTAGTTTCTTTTGTCAAAAGGTGACTGTGAAGTATGTAGAAATAATAGCAGAGTACTTTTGTCTTTCAACTCAAAATACAAATTTTTAATAGTCTGTCCAGTTGAAAAAGTTGTAATGTGAAATACTACATTTCTGTCATGTGTAGCCATAAATCTATAGCCAATAATTTGAGTAGACTTCTGCTTATCTGGAAATACTCTCATGATTTCAGAAAGTCATGACAGACTTCTTCCAGTGTCACTTTCCAGCATGCATAAAAATTCAGCGTGTTCATCTTTTTCATCCAATTTGCCCATTTTCTTGCAAGTTTTTGGTCTTCTAATGTGCAAGACAGCATTGCATTTATTTTTTCTGAGCTGTGACTAGATGAAATTTACCTTGGAAATAAAATTTTAAAAAAAATTTATTTTGGCTTGATCTTATTTTAATCAGGGAAAAATTTCACTAGTAATGAACACAAAGTTACAGCTGTTTCATTTGATCTATTCAAGTTGCTTTCCTTGCTTATTTTCATTGTTCTGCTCAATAACTAAGTCTTCATTAAATAAAGAATTAAAATTCTGTGTATGCATTGTATGTGGATCCAGCTTGGGACAAATCTGCTTTTTTTTTTTATTGTCTGCAATTTAAAAATTGGACCAAACTACCTCTCTGATTATGTGCTATATTTTTCTTCTTGACCCTTGTTTTATTGAACTCCACTTTCATATTTTGTTGTTCTACTCCAACCTCAGTGTTCACTTTCTCAGTGATGTATAGAATTAAAAGGTAAAATGTGGGCCCTCCTTGGTGGCGCAACGGATTAAAACACAGCACTAAAAAGCTAAAGACCACTTCTGCATGAGTTCGATCCCCGCCTGCCCCTGAGGTGACCACATGGCGCATCAGACCTCCTGATCGGCCCCCTGCTCCCCTCAGCAGTGTACTTGTCAGTCAGCCTGTTCTGCTCCCCACTCTGTCCCTGGTGAATCCTCTCACCACTTCTGCACCTCTGGTTTGTACCCCAGCTCTGTATGCATAAATAAATAAGTCTTTCTGTATGCATAAATAAATAAATCTTTGAGAAAAAAAAAGGTAAAATGTAATCATGTTCAAGAGGTTCCAAATTTGAATATACTCTATCAAAAATGGAATTACAGTAAATGTTAATATATTGAAAAATTAAAATGATTTTTCCTGTATGGTTTCAGAATATGTTTCTCCTAAAATTCCAAAATTATCTATTAAAAAAAATTCCAACAAAGCTTAGTTTTTAGGCTTTAAATTTTAATTATATCATCTGAAATACTTTATATTTGCAATTCGTGTGTTCGATGTCCATCAATTGCTAATGCAAAATACTGGTATTATGTTTCATGCTTCAAGCTTTCTCTATTTAAACTATGTATAAAAAAGACATAAAAATAAAATTGTTTGATATTGCAAAGTGTGCTTGGGCAGCGTTATGTAACTGTTGGATAGTGCAATATTTTGTGCAGTAATTTGTGAGTTCTTAGAGGTCCGCAAACTGAAACTTAAAGAAAGCAAGAAAATAGATGGTCAGCACTCCTGGGAAATGATACTTTATTATGCAAGAATCTATAGCACTCATGACATCTGAGAGGAAGGATTTGACAAGTTAATTAATTTGTCTTTTTCCTTACCCAAATACTTCCACAGCTCAATTCTCACTGTCCTAAGCAATGTCTTTCCATGAAATTGGCAGCAGTAACACAGTTCTTAATGACATTTGGATAAAGTCCTCTTTTGTTTCCAGGACAGAGGGCAGGGGAAGTGAAGAAGCATATCCTATGTGTGAACTGGGTGTTCTCAGTTAAACCTGTCCTGGGTTACCAGTAGGCGCTAGATCCCATCCGTCCTTTAATACATTTACCTTGTTATGTGTGTATTTGTGATTTTCAGACTATGTTATGAATGAAGTCCAAGGAAGGAGCCTTGGACAGGTTAAAGTCTAAGGATTGTCCTGAAATCAATAAAAAAAAATCCGGTATTTCTTGTGATACTGAGCCAAGGGGCTTGCATCTTGAGTTGCATAACACTATATTATGAACCTGGCATTTTGAGAAGAAAAGGGTTTACTTCTAGTTGACTGGCAAGGAGGCAGAATCCAAGCTCAAATCTGTCTCTCCATCCCAGAAAGAGAAGGCGTTTACACTGAGTTTTGGGGGCCAAGGTATTAAATTTTATTGACTAAGCGATGGGCTAATGGCACAAAAATATGGCCATGGCTGAAGGCCATTGCATGCTGGTCCCATATGGGGAGAGGTCTTTTTCAAAGATCTCTTGGGTCTTCCTGAAGCTAGCCTCCTAGCTTCTGAACATGGTCTAGGTAACTCCTTTTCCCAGTCTCCTTGGTTCAGGAAGTTGAGTTTAGTGTCATTTAATTCCTGAGTGGGCTGTGTGACCCACAGCCACGTGTCTTGGCTCCACTGCTTCTGTGTTGACAAGCTCAGAAGATCCTTTTTTTGGTCTACAGTAAGAACATACAGCATGACATCTACCCTCTTAACTTCCTAAGTATACAGTTCAATGGTGTTAACTATAAACAGTGTTGTACAGCAGTTCTCTAGAATGTTATCCACCATAACTGACGCTTTAAATCCGTTAAGCAGTAACTCCCCTGGTCTAGCTGCAGTCTCTACCTTCCTAGGTTTTCATTACTTTTAAATTTATGGCTACATTTGGTCAATTACAACAAATATATACAAATGTTAGAAATGGGCTAGTGAGATATTGTGATTTATAAGAAACATGGATCTTGTCATCAGATAACCAGCATATTGGTGTTCATCCACAGTTCCTGATTCACAGCTCTCAAAAAAAGCATTGACATTTGCATCCTCTGAGGTATGTAAATGGTGTCTCTTATTTGAATGAAGGTAACTTTTGGAGGCACCTGGGGATGGGATGGTTGCCAGGGAAACCAACATGCACAAAGGTGAGACTTTCAGTTCCTTTCTACACCTGATTTCCTGGGGACAGGCACTATGGTTGTGTTCAGTCGCCAGTGTATCAGTCAATCATGCCTATGTAATGCCATCCACGAAACCTCCCAAAAGGAGGGGCCTTGAGGAGCTTCTGGGTTGGTGAACACCCGAGACCTGGGGAGGCTGCCGTCCTGAGAAGACTGTAAAGGCCTCCTCATTTGCCCACAGCTTGCCCTGTGCACCTCTTCTATCTGGTTGGTCGAGTTATCTCCTTTGTGTTAACTCAGTGACCTAGTGAGTAAACAGTTTCCCAAGCTCTTTGGGTTCCTCTGGAACATTAATTGAACCAGGGGAAGGGTGTTGGGAGCCTTTAATTTCTAGCCAGTAAGTCAGAACAGGTAACTGAGCTCTTTACTGTGAAATTTGATGCTGTCTCTGGGCAGATAGTGTCTGGGTTGAGCTGAGTGG